CGTTCTGGAATTAACCCTCCTCTAACCGTAGGAGCGACCGATCTCAGAACTTCCATTGCAACATCCAGGCCATGGCAAAATATCGTGATCAATTGGCTTAAGCCGTTGCATCGTCACGCTTGCCTCCTGTGTTCTTTGAGTGTCCAACACCGGAGGCTTGCTTAATCCTTCACCTTGTCCAATAAAAGCACCACGAAAGAAGTCAAGAATCTTCAATGCAGGCTTATCCTGCAGATCACTCTGGGTTGGGTGTGTGATTTCTTCCAAACTAGCAACCCATTTTTGCGGATCAACTATCTTGACAGGGAAATGTTTCTCGATAGCTGGTATCAAGGATTCCCAGGCAGCAGGACTTGGATTAACGAGATGGAAGGCGGCGCAACGGACTTCCTCTTCATTTTGTCTCCTTGATCGGATAATATCGATGATTACTCCCGCGATGGTGTCCTATATGAAAAAGGGTTAGCTGGCTTATCATAAATATGATCGTCTGGTGGGCCGGGGCAATGTGAAAAATCAAGGAAAGTGTGGAGAGTTTATCCTACGCACCACTGGAATCCAGTCCACTGTTATGCCTCCAAGGGATGAGGGAAGCTGTTTTATTGTTTTTGATGTTGCAACCAGGGATGGGAACCATTCTTGCTTGTTCCACATTCCTTTTTCTGTTGTCGGACCTCCGATTTGACCAACACGATGGATGCTGGTTGGGACACCACAATAGGAAGAAGCAAAAGCACAAATTCGTTCCCCAACATGCTTAGATTCTCCATATCCGGTACGCATCACGACATCAGCCTCTTCAAATATTTCTTCCGGAACATGTGTGCCACGTTTTGTGGTATTCCACCCTTCAACGGTCGAGATGGAGGATATGAAGTGAATATGTGCGCGATGAGTGCTGGCAATGCTAAAGTCGACAAGTCGACGGACTCCTTCGAGATGTGGTTGTTCGAACGCTTCTACTTGGTGGTTGAAATTCACTTTCCAAGCATTGTGAATTATTGTATCGACGGATTGAAGCAGCCGATCATAGACATCATTGGCAAGCCCAAGGCGTTCATCTCCAAACTTTGCGTGGAGAAATTCAACCCTGGAGGCGAAAGCGTTAGAAGATGACAACCCCTTCGCCTGAAAACTCTGGGTTTGTCTTTCTGCTGCGTCTTCTGAACGGTTCAAACAATATACCTTGGCAACTCTAGGATCGAGAAGGAGCTCGTGCAGCAAGTAGCTGCCGAGAGATCCGGTGGAGCCAGTAAGAATGATAGAATGCTTCTCCGCCAAGCCGGCAGTGTATTTCTGTACGAGCGCCAGAAGCCTGGCAGATCTTGCCCTCTCATCCTCCACTCCGGCCCCGGCTTCGTCTATCGTGGCTTTCCCGTGAACGAGATCGTACATGTAATGTGAAAGGGCAGACACAGAAGGGTGGGAGTATATTTGCCTGCTAGAAAATGCATCATTACTTAACTGTGGGCAAATCGTCCGGACTGCACTTTGCAAGACCTGGCCGAGCTGCAGTGATTGGAGGGAATCAAGGCCCAAAGAAAATATATCGCTATGGTCGCCAATCTCCTGTGACGGAAGCAGGGTTGAAACTACAGCCTTCACTTGCACAATTATGTCATTTGGAGTTGCATCCTTAGAGATACTGATCGTCGCTTCGTTGTCAGACTTGGAATACAATGACTCAATTTCATCTCTGTAGTCCTCAGTTACTATCCGTCGTTGAACAGTTCCTTTCGGTGTCGTTTTGAAAGGTTTTGAAGGAGACGAAAGACCTATTTTTGACTTCATTAGCCGGCCGTGTCCTGGTGCACCCTCGTTCGCCTTCTGCACTATTGGCCAGATTTCCTCAATGAATTCGTCTTCATCTCCTTTCCAATTGTCCCAATCTAGCTCACAAAGGAGAGCTGCCTGGAACCGCCCTTGGCCTATAACAACAGCCTTTGACACTAGGGGATGTCCCTGGATAATAATTTCCATTGATGTCGGATTAAATTTTTCTCCGTTGCTGAGCACAATCACATCATCTCCACGCCCAATATATCTCCATAGCCCTGGCTTCCGCGCGTGCGGAGTAAAAATGTCACCGGTTCGATATTCTGTGAGATCCGGGTGCGTGTGGAAAACGCCGTGGACGTGCCGATTCGACTGGCGAGGAATAATTAACTCGAAGGTGCCATCCCCCTGGGCCCGCATGTCAACCGCGTAGAAGGGATTCCATTCAAAATATTCCCAATCTTCACGCTCTTCCGCCTTCAGAGATGCAACCAAACCACATTCGCTCGACCCAAGAACAGTCTGCAGGTGGGTCAATTTGCAAAGCCCATCCCCAATCTCGGGTGACAGCGGCGCTCCTCCGTACGCGATGTAATGAAACTTAGACAACGTTTTTTGTCCTACCTGGGAGGAATAAAGGTCTTCTAATGATGATGGCGGAAGACTCGCTGAAGTGCATTTTGTCTCTGTCACGATTGTGGCGAGTAATTCGGCCGTCATCGGCTTTTCCGGGCTTAATACGAACGGGGTCGCGGCGGAAACTGAAGCGATCACCGTAAGCAAACCCATGAAGTGGAAAAATGGACTCATTGTAAACGCTAGTTTTCCGGGTTCGCAGACACTGTAAACACTGCCAACTCGCCCAGGAGGTGTAGGCATAACTTGGACTCCCTTCTGTGCGGCGACGTATCCATGCGTAAGTGGAACGGGCTTGGGCAAACCTAGGTATGCATCGTTAAACACTGAGCATACACTCACTCACGAACAACGAGATCTGCAATTTTCTAACTTACCTGTCGTCCCAGAACTATGGATGATGGCGGCAATGCTGTCCGCCACTCCTTCGGACTGTTTCACCCCTTCATACGGCAGGACTTCAGTATTGTTGAAAACGTTCCAAAGGTCTGGGACAATCCATGCCTTGATGCTGGAATCTGCTGCACACAGTTCGTTTACTTGCCTCTCGCGTTCCACGCTGTAGACGAACTTCGAACATCCACTCTTTGCGAGAACGTGGCGTGATGCTTCCAGCGAATTTCGGGGAGAGAGCAGCAATGGCTGAATTATCAGTTACCCTCTATTTTTTAGAGCTATCTCTGTCAATATGCATAGAATTTGGGGAACAGCCTGCTTACTACGTGTCCGACCTTGGTGCAAGCAAGAATATAAGCAGCGTAGCGTATATCGTTTGCTCCCATATAAGCTAATGTCTCATGGCTTGAACGAGCTGCCACATTATCTTCAATCCACCTTGCCATGTAATCCGTTGCGCCAGACAAGTCTTTCATTGTTACGTTGCGCCATCCCTGAGATACGTCAGGGGATAGTGGGTGGATGCAAAATAGCTGGTTTGGATTGTTCTCCTTAAGATAATCAACCTCGGCTGACAGGGTGCGTATTTCAACGTGGGCGGATCCCATTTTGCAGTATACTAGGCAAATAGAAGTTTATTGTTCCCTTCAGGTAATTCGTTTAAAATAATCTCGAAGAGACGGTAATCGGTTCCCTGCGCGGGGAGGACTTGATTCATATAGGTATCACACATCTCGAGCATAGCTCATCTGATCCTAGATCTGGAAGCTCCTGCAGGTTGTTATTGGTACAACCTACAATCACAGCCCAAATTCGGGCGGAATATGCCTTCTGAGTCGCTGGTATGTAAAAACAACGCTCGAAATACCATATTTTATAGGCCGTGATTGCACATTGCGCCCTATTTCCAAATTTGAGATTGGAAGATCCATGCAGCCCATTTATCAGTCATCAATGTCAACCTACCACGCACGAAATAAGAAACTCCATCGCTATGGTGGCCTATGCAATTTCACATAATTGAACAAACTCTCTTCCAATATGCAGTACGTGTATAACACCGTGGGCTCCCCAATTAAGCTTGATATAAGAAAAATGTTTGAATCAAACTTCAGGAGCTGCGTTGATCGCTGTATAGGATGGAGACAATTAACGTTTTCGCTCACCGACAATATTTATTCACTTCTTTTGGATACAATTATCTAGATAGTTAATGAGGTTGTCTATCCTATCGGTAAGTACAATGCACACCATAGCTCGCAAATTAATGAACTGTCAGGTTAACAGGCTGCTCTTCGTATTGCCAACGTAGTTCAACAGGTCAGCAAGATACTTAACACGTTCACCTACTTTAGCATGCTCATACCCGACATCGTATAGCTTGAAGTGGATACGGAGGGTAGGTAAGTATGCAGTTTGCCTTGAAACGTCCATTTGTCTATTAATGACCCCGAGGACGAGTACCTGAGCTTGCCGCCGTGGGTTGGGACTGCTGATCCGAGAAGTGAATAGACACTTGATGATTGTCGTGGGGAATTAACTACCAAGTTGTCGGTTCTGGAGCAAGCTAGTGAAGACTCTGATCAGTTCGAACAAACCGCTGGGCCCGAATGTGTGGGCACAGTAGTTTACTCAGATAATCGCCAAGTCTACGAGAAAGCCGCATGGCTGGACCCTTGTGCGATATTAAACTATTTCTCGCGGCTACTGTAACTTAGTTAGCTCTCGGGATGAAGCGCTCGTCACGATGTCGTTTGAAACCCATTTTCCAACCCCCGTTTAACCAACCCCTGTCAACACTGAATGGGCCACCTACAGAGAATAGATTCGAATCTAGAAGCGTGTGGTGAGTTGATATATTTTCCATCGGATATTCAAAACCCTAAAAAATCGCGTACATTCCTCGACAAGTCCTGCTTGCTTTAGATCTTCGACAGCTCGTCAAGCGGGATTGGGGGGGGGGGGGGGGGGGGGGGGGTTATTTTGGGGAAATTTGCACCCTGGATTGCTGGGGGATTTTGAGTTTTGGGCCCTTGGGGTAGGAG